TTATAAAATTTAATTAATTTAGTTAGAAGAATTGAAAACATCTTTTTAATTACATAATTATATTTTATTATTATTATTTTAAATCTTATTTAAATTCTTTGGTAAACAACTATTATTAGTTAACTAATTTATAAATTTCTGAATGAAATCACTAATAGAAGTGCTAAATACTCTGTGAAATTAAAATCAATACATTTCATTCACAGTTAAAAATTGCACGTAAGAATAGACTTTAAGAGTTATAAATTTCAAACAATATATTTATGTATTAATTTATAAATTAAATTATTAAAAATATATATAATACATATAATATTCATTTATTTCATAAACAATTTAAAACTAACTATTAAAATGATAGTTGAAGAGAAAGAGATTTCATTTCACCAATCATATCGTTGAGGCATTATGCATCTTCATTCTACAAATATTCAGTTAATAGTAATTCAGAGAGAGTCAAACTATTTCATTTCAGAGTATGAAACTGAATAGATTTCATCCAGTAACTTTGTAAGTCGTATAAGACTAAAGAACAAAAAGAACTTTTACTACAGCGAGAAGTGCTTTTGATTTTATAATGAATAACATCGTTCAAAATGATACTGCAGAAATTTGAATTAAGATTTTTTCTTTTTCATATTTTCTCAATGAAAAGAAAAAATAAAAAATTCAAATCTATTGATTCAAAACAATTAAATAATTTTATTTAAATCACATTTTTAATATATCTGATTGAATCAATAATTCTTTTTATGCAATATTCAAATTTTAATTTGACATTTTATGAAACAATATATTAATCTATTATTTTTAAACTAAGTTTAAATAAAAAAAGTTATCATTGGACATGATTATATAAGAAAAATAGAAATTATAATCATATCAAAAACAATAAAATATAAATATAACACCATATTCTAAATTAATAATCTATATTTTCTTATCTTTTATTATTTGTTATTAATTATTTATTTCTATTTCTATCTATTATTTATTTGTTATTAATTATTATATCTATTTCTTATCGAATCTATTTACATATATTTAATTACAACACAAAAATCAATTTATCATTTAAATTTCAGATTAAAAAAATTATATTTCTTCATCTTTCTATCATGCTATTCATGCTATCAGATTCAAGTCAAAGTTTCGAAAAGAATATAGCTCAATACAATTCGAAACGAAGGAAATCGGGCAGGTCGTGGAGTGGCCATCGAGATGGTAAGTCGGCCGAGCGTTGGCCGAACACACGAGTTTTCGTAGTCCGCCATCTTTATGGTTACGTCAGCATGTTTCAGTTCCCGGATCTGAAAGTTTTCGCTCGGCGACAAGATATTTCAAGTGGTCGCTCGGTCGCTCAGTCGTGATCGCCCTACGCTGAAATATTGGACGGCTCTTTCTTGCAGCCGCATATTCTTCTACCACCATTTCTGCTACTCTCCGCCACCATCTCCTTCTTTTCATCGGCAGCCTCTCACATTCAATGTTAGCTGGAGTAGCAGCGAAGCTAGCATACTCCCCTAAGAACACCACCTATCGTCTTCGTCATCCACCGGCGACCTTCTTTTTCCCTCTGCTTTTCCACTGCTTCTTTCCTTCCTACCTCCTTTCCCCTGATCCTCGTCTTATAGTAAGAAGTTCACGACTTAGTCGCGTATTAAGCATACCAACCCAACTCATTGTTAACTACCCATGAATGAGTTACGCCCACCCGACGCTAATTCTCAAATTGTCCAAAAAGAATCCAAAGTGTCTATCTGCGCAGCTTCACCCGACATCGAAGAACATCCCGAATTGGGATGAGGTTGCGAAAGAATTACGAGGACCTCTTCTGGTTAGAAATGGTGGAAGATTGGTGAAGATGAGTGATAATGGGAAAGCCATGAGGAAAAGGAGTTTCCGGTGAAAAACAAGGTATTTAAGCTGACTTCTTGAATCTTGAAACGCAATCCTTTATCTTGATTATTTTTCTTGATCATTATTAATTAATTCTTTTGATTAAGATTTTATGAGATACTTTTATGATCTGTATTTCTTTTCTAATTAAATTACGAATGATTATAGTTTATTATAATTTTTTCAATATATCTGATGCATTTCTCTTTTTTTAAATGAAATTATGTTTGAATTGCATATCTGCGAGTTACAATTATATTCATATTTGTAATTACAAGATTGTAGATATTTATATAAAATAAAATTTTTACATAAAAATATACTATATTTTTGAAATATATTTTGAATATTTTTAGCTTTTTTACATATTATGTGCATTTTATAGATTTTTGTATTTAAATTTTACATAAACATCCGCAGTCTAGTAGTTACAAATGAAATATAAAATCTCATATAGGAATAAAAATTACATATAATATTAATATTTTTAGCTTTTTTGCATATCATATGCATTCTATAGATTTCTGTATTAAAATTTCGTATAAATATCCGCAATCTAGTAATTACAAATAAAATATGAAATCTCACATAGGAATAAAAATTATGTATAATATTATTATGTATAATACAAGAGTACTTGATAATATTAGTTTCAGATTAAGTATATACTTTATAATATTATAGAAGGATTACATTTTACATTGAAAAAAAATTTTTTTTTGTATGTATATAAAATTCATATTGAATTTTAACTTTACTTTTAAATTTTTAGAATGAAGATTATTTATCACAAATTTAATATTTTAATATTGTTATCTGAATATAAATAAAATAAAAAATACTATATCTGAATAATTATTATTGAAAAATTCATAGAGTTAAAGTCATAGATAAAATATTGTTCAAATTAAAAAAATTGTATCTGTATAAAAATCATATAAAAAAAAGTTTTCAAGAAATTTGTGAACTTCTTATATACAATTTTTTATATACAAAATTTAGAATAATATTTAAAATACACCGTTATAATTTAATTTTTTATTCAGTGTTTGACAATGAAATAATTAATCATCATATATCTATTATCATGTTACAAATTAGATTCAAAATTCATATTTGTGTTCAAGAAACACCATAATCATATCCGAGAATATGATTTTGATATTATATCTCAGATAAAATTTTAAAAAATTTTAAAATTTTAAAAAATTTTCAAAATCATCAACTCTTAGATCAATAGAAACCATGACAAGAATCTAATTACGAGTAACAAATTGCCACTTTTCAAATTAGTTACGGATCAATTGGAAGAGAGGTATAATATGAAGCAAAAATAAAAAAAAAAAAGAAAAAAAAAAAATATAGGCCTGGAATTTGGCGAAGAGGAATGGTGTCGTCGCGACATTGGAGAATTAAACCTGTCATCCCTTGACAAATCTACGAGTGTCGGCCTGATAAATTCAATTAAATAATTATACCTCTCTTCCTGTCGGATGTCCGTTTGCCAGGACCGCGACACCAGCGACCGTTCACTTTCTCATGAGCCAAGCAGAGTGTCTTTCGAGACGTCTTTGGAGGGAATACGAGAAGCCATTTCTGAAGTTTATAGCCGTTCTTGGATCAGCCGGGGCGGATGGGTAAGAAACGCGAAGGGCGGTTCGTCTTAATATAAAGCGAGTTGGTAAGTTTGGTGCAGCCAGCAGAGGCTAACTTATAATGCGATTTGTTTAATCGGCGCCAACTACTTTGTTCCGCTCGGCATTTTCCGTCGTGCACCGAGAAGAACGAGCAGCCACGGCCTTTCTTCTTCTTGTTTCCTTCTTGCCCGAGTCTCCTCTCGTCTCTTCCTTTTCTCTTTTCCAACTCTCTCCTCACACTTTGGCGATTCTTCCACGCTATTGTGTGCTGTGCTCCTCTCGAAACGATCCCGAGTATCGAACGGCACCCCCTTCGGTTATCCTTTC